CCCTAAAAAAAATAAAAAAAAAATATATATATATAAAAAAGCAGAGGAGCATCAGCTCTGCTGCAACAGCCTCGCAGCAAGGAGATGCTCCCGCTCTGCCGAGCAGAAAGCAATTGCTGTATTTTTTCAGTGTTTTGTGCTGCCGGGAGAGGAGGATGGGAAAAGGAGCCAGGTTAGCTGGGGGGGGGGCTCCAGCTGGGCACTCGGCAGCTGCTCTGCTACCTGGCCCCGAGGAAAAAGCTTGCCACGCTTTATAAATGTAAGTGGCGCTACCTGGGAAGCGAGCAGGAGGAAAGAGTCCCCTGGGCTTAATGCATTGCTCAGTGTGGTTGCCAAGGAGCAGAAAAAGCGATTGGGGGAGCATTTATTTCATACATCAGAAAGCAAAGCAGCAGCTGAATCTGGGGAATGAGGGCTGCCCCTCTGAGCTGTGTCGGGTCCGTGGGATGCAGCCCCTGTGAGGCACGGGGGGTAGCAGCAGCAATCCGGTGGTCCGGCAGTCCCACCTCTCCCCTTCCTCCCTTCCAGAGCCAAGGATCTGAAGACTCGCTTGGGGATCCTGCTTCAGAAACCAGAGCTGGGACACAGGATCGGGACCTCCAGCAAGCTGGGTTCCCGGCAGAGGTAAGCCAAGCAGTGCCGTGTCCCAGGTTCAGCCCTGGGTAGGTCCCTGTGGACCAGGCTGTCCTGGGGGATGCTCCTACCCATCTGCGCAGCAGAGAGGACAGAGCGCAGCTCGCCCTCCCCACGGTCCCACCCCAGTAGGCAGGGAAGGCGGATCATTTCCCAGCTCCACCAGTTATAAAATCAGATGGGGGAACTGATGCTCCAGCATTAGGCACAAGAGAGCAGGGCCTTAGCAATAGGCAGAATCCCACAGAGCTCCCGCGGTTCCTGGCATCTCAGCCCAGTGCCTGGGACCCTTGGGGAATGCAGGCAGCATTTAAAACAAAATACTAAATATTGCTGCTGAAAGCAGGGCATCTTCTTGCAGAGGAGGCTCTGCTGCGCTTGTACCAGCAGAAAAGGGCTCCTCTGAGTATCTGCTAGAGAAGCTACCTGGCCAAAGCTGCACGATGGAGCTGAGGTCTGGTGAGCCATCGGGGAAGGTAAAAGAAAGGGAGAAAGGAAAGAGAGCTCACAGGTAATGGATACCGGGGGTCTCATTTCAGTTTCCTACCGAATGCCGCTGCCTCCCTTCTTGCACTGTCTCCCATTAATGGGGTTGCTTGACTGAAGCGCTCCCATCCTTTGCCGCGGGGCAGGAGATGTGTTTTCAGCGGGACCGTGAGCCTTACATCCTTTTGTCTTTTCCAGAGACTCCTCACGAGAGGTACTCGAATGGAGGGAGTCCTTCGACCAGCTCCTGAAGAGTAAAAGTAAGTAGGATCTTCTTTACTTCTCTCGGTGCGAGCGCATGGGACAGGGAGCAAGGGGGTGACTGTACGCCTGGAGCCAGTCTACAAGGAAATCTTGTCTCCTCCTCAAATGAGACGGTTTAGGATTCAGAAAGAGGCCCCTTTCCTGCCCTGGCAGAGCTGACGCATGGGGCTAATGGCTTGCCTTGCGAAGCTGTACCCTTTTCTTCTGGCTGGGTTGTTTTTTGGGGGGGCACAAGCGCTGTCTCGCAACGCCTCACTGCTGCCTCGGGACAGGAGCATCGTCGTGGGCATCCCGTGTGCAGCAGTCCATCAGGGGAACGTCATGCCATGCCCTGCCCGTCCCTTTCCCCACCCACAGGAGAAGACAGCATGTCTGTTCTCTGTGTCTTCCTTTGCACAGCAATGCAGCCACCTCCCCACAGGCTTTTGTTGCTCCAAAACCTCCCTTGGTTGCTGTCTGTCCGTCTGTCCTGTGCCTCCTGGGATGGCCCTTCCACAGGGAGAAGGAATTCAGCTGCTTTACTGAGTTACATGTAGCTGTTTGCCCCTCTGATATTTGCTATACGTATGGTGATGCACAGGGTTCCCATAAGGTGCTGTCTCCCTCTCTCCCACGCAGACAGTACCTCCAGACCCCGCGAGGGGACCTCTTCTTGAGTCTTGCGTGTAATCCCTTCCTTACCCTGGGCTTTACAGCAAGGTCACAATGGTAGAAGTGCCAAATTTTAATACAAAAGTAGTTATCTACCTTAAAAGCTATACTACAGCAAAAGAAAGTCCTTCCATAGTGCTAGTTTGGGGCTAGGCATATATATATATTTATTATTTTTTTTCCCAGCCTTCCTCACGTGCTGTGATGGCTAACAAGCATCTCCGACTTTGTAACTTAATACATCCCCCAGCCTGGCTCGGAAATCCTTGCTGCAATTACTCTCCCATACTCCTCAGCAGCTCTTTCCCCCTAGATGTCAGCTGAGAAATAAAAATAAAGCCATCGCTGCTCGGTTCCTGTAGGCATCCTGATACGTCAGTGGATTTCTCCTTAGGTAGAATTAGCTCTTTTCCGAAGCTGTAAAGAAAATACTCTGAAGCCTCATTACAGAAAGGTCAGATAAATAAAACCAGAGGATTACTTGTCTGTGGGAAAGGATTTTATTGGAGTCTAGAGGCCAATTAGCAGCATCTCGGAGGGTGGAATTTGCCTGGAGGGAAAGGAAATCTGCAGTTATGGTCTGAGCTCCCAGGGCGATGCTCGCCGAGCAGCACCGTTTCTGGCAGTGGTCCTCCTCTTCCTCCCCGCCTTCTGCCCCACTAACTGCTCTTCTCTCACCTCCCCAGGCGGGGTGACTGCTTTCCACACCTTCCTGAAGACGGAGTTCAGTGAGGAGAACCTTGACTTCTGGCTGGCGTGTGAGGACTTCAAAAAGACCCGGTCGAAAACCAAGCTGGCCTCCAAGGCCAACAGGATCTTCGAGGAGTTTGTCCAAAGTGAGGCGCCCAGGGAGGTGAGAGCATTTTCTGCCTCTGTCCTGTGGCATCAAATAGGGTGGGAAAGGAATAAAATATCCCGGTGGGTTTTATTAAAGTGTTCTCAGCAAAGCAGGAAGATGTGCTCTTGTTCATGAGAGCTTTCGTTTCTAACATCACACGGTCTACCAACATGAAGGGATATAAATGCTTGTGAGCATCTTCACCCTCATCTGAAGATGGAGAAACCAGTTTTCAGCTCCCCCCCCATGGGAGGGGAGTTAACGCCGAGTTAATGATTTTGGATGCTGCTTCCTTGCAGGTGAATATTGACCACGAAACCAGGGAGATCACCCGCAAGAACCTCTCGGGTGCCACCTCCGCGTGCTTCAACGAAGCCCAGGCCAAGACCCGCACTTTGATGGAGAAGGACTCCTACCCCCGGTTCCTGAAGTCCGCCTCCTACCAGGACATGACCAAGCAGGCCACCAGCCGTGGCATCAGCAAGCGGTCGCATACCTGACCCAAGCCCAAATTCACCACGGGGGGACGAGCCGGGGGATGAGGCAGAGGTTCAGAGACGGTTTGCGAGGGCTGAGGTCCGTGCGGCAGGGCTTCAGCTGAAGTCCTGGCATTTTAGCAAGACCCTCAGGACCTCAAGCGCTTCCCACTTCCCACCGAGCTGCTGGGAAGAGAGGTCCTCCCTCCCTCCCTCCCTCCCTGGAGGAGCCGAGCGGCTGGGAACCCGCTGCCTCCCCTTGCAGCACGGCTGGAGACCTGCAGCACCACAGGGACAGAAAGAAATTGGATTTGAGTTGCAAGCCCGGGAAAAAGAGACCGGATTCCCCTGAGCATCCATAACCAGAGAGCTCCCACCTGCTCTCAGGACCCTGCCTCTGACCTGCAGCATCAGCCGCCGGCTGCAGAGCCAGCACAGGAGCCTGCAGTTCCCGCAGTGCCTGGGGCAACCGCCCCAGACCTGCCCGCAGGGCTTTTCCTATGAGGGAATGGCCAGAATAAAAGCCCAAAGGCTACGTGGCATCTTCAGCTGGAGGGACCCTGCGCCTGCCTTCTCCTGGTCCTGAGATCATTCTTCTGCCATTTCCTATGCGTGCTCGGCATCAAAGCTTTACATCTTCTTCCAGTACCGCGTATCCCTAGCAGTGACGATTTTATCCCTCGCTTAAGCTACATGACCTTTAGATTGCACACAATCTTAGGTCGCATGCGTAACTTTTTATTACTGTTGTTATTTATTTTATCATTATTATTATAATATATGTATTTATGAGAAGAGCACTGCTGAAAGCATACACACGTCCCTTGCTCTGAGGAGCTTGTAAATTAAATTATTTTAGATATCATAGCATTTAGCATGCCTCCCACCTTTTCTGTATCGTAACTTGAGAGATGACCAGACAGATCTGTAACATGACCATGGAGCAAGGTACGCGAATAGCGGCAGCGCGAGCTGCGGTCCGGGAGGGCTGCTAGAGGGGTCGAAGGCGGCAGGTTTCCCCTGAGCTCGGAGGACCGTTGATGGCCGTAAAAGGATGCTTTGCAGTCTGTGTTGCTTCCTTTCTCCCCTTAAAGATGTGGCTGGCACCTCGGCATGTAGACTAGCAGCTTGTCCCAGACAGAATAGCAACATAAAACAGGCGCTTCGGTGAGTGATCCTATTGAAAACTTATTTTTTACATATGGGAGAGAAAACGTGGAGCTTTCCTCTAGTTTAAAATTGGGCTTGATGTTCCCTTGGTTGGTCAAACCAGTCTGCAGCCACAGCCCTTTACCAGAAACCTGGGGAGATGTGTGCTATAAATCCAGTGTCTCGGGAGGCAACAGGACATTTCATCAGCTGAGACCTTTGGGGTGAGCTCTTCAGAAAGCCCCTCTCAGCAGGGATTTCTGGGTCCCGCAGCCATCCCAGAAAGCTGTGGATCCCTTTGGGCAGCAACAGTGCAGGCAGCAATGTGGGTGGGTGATGGGGAGCCCACCAGTGTCCTGCGCTGGGTCATGGGGAACTTGCCACCAGCATCGTTTCCTACTGAGACAGCCTGGGGCTGCCACATGTCCCTCCGTCTATCCCAAAAGACCAAACCTGGAGGTCGTTATCCTGCTGGTACTCACTCCTTGCCAAGGGAATCATCTTTTGCTCCCCCCCTGAGCATTAGTGGGAGCACAGGATCACTCGGGCTTTTTGTGGCTGTTGGAGCACAGCAAGGGACTGAGGACCAGTTTGGGGATGTTATGCTGAGTCTTCTTGCACTTTCCCCATCCCGGTTCTACCTCTCAGCCTCAGTGGGTCCTGACTGCGTTTACGGGGAGATTTTAGCTGCTTTCTTATTTATTGTTTATTTTTACAACTGGAACCACCTTCGTTGTGTTACTGAAGTGAACAATGCACAATGGTCCGTTTTCACTACTAACATAATATTGTCATGATAAAATAAAATGCAAAGAGGAAAATACTGTGACAATGTGGGGTTTTTTTGGTTGTGGGCTTTCAATTTTTGCATTCTAATTTCGGATGACTTGCAAAGCATACTAAAGAAAGCTGCTTGTGTTGGGTGGCTCAAGGGGCATTTATAGTTGCAACGTCAGGAATGGAAAAGGAAGGGGAAGACTTGTGACGAGTAAAGCTTCGTGGTATTTGGCTTATTGAAGAGAACCGAGGATTCAAGCGAGGGCTGCTGTTTGCAAAAGCTGCTTTTGGGTCATTGTCATAAATAATATTTGGTTTTTACCAATAACTCAGCTGATGATTGAATTCATTTACAAGGAGGAAAGTATCTGCTATTAGAGGGGTTATTAGAAAACATCCTACCTCTGTTGCGGCATGTGCTGTCTCTGAGGTCTGAGCGGTCCCCTGTGTCCCTGTGGGATGCTTTGGGAGGGCAGCGGGGCGGGGGGGGGTGTGCATGGTGTGTGCCCCTCCAGGGACCGCGGGAGCACTGGAGGGCTGCCTGCGGGCACCAGCGATGTAGGGAGGGGAGCATCCAAGCGTAGCTCAAAGATGCTGACACTCCAAATAAAAACCAAACAGAACATGGGTTTAAGTTGTCTTCTTTCTATTTATCGCATGTTTTGGAAGGCAAAATTAACTGGCCTGCGTCAGCGGAGGAGAGTGTGAGTGGATTGCTGAGGAGGAGCTGGCATCACAAGTGACTGTAACTCAGGAGCACTTAGGTCCCAAGGTATTACTGGTAGCACAAACAGCCTCTGCCATTAAAAAGCCTTTTATAAGCAACTGCGTCTATAGCAAAGCCATAATACAGCCATGCAGAGTCCAAGGATCATCACTCATTCATTGCAAAATAGATCAACTCTTCTCCATCCCTCTTCCCTACAGTTGTCAGCTGCCTCACCGGAGGAAGGCAGTTTAAACTTCCCCTTATCTTTTATCCACTCTTTCATTAAGCCTGGCCTTCTCTTACAAGACAGGTGATTCGGAATCGCAGCAGTCTGCGTATAAACCTGATCTCAGCACGTGTCAGGGAAGAAATGAGCTGAAAAGTGTCCAGGAAGTATTTAAATTCTCTAGCAAGAAAGACTTGGGGCAGTAAAACAGCCTAGAAGCAGCTAGAGACAAAAATAATTGTTTCTTTAACTGCAGCTTCTAACTGGAAAAAAAAATTAATGCTTTGTCTTCATACCTTGAAATTAATTTAAAACTGTTTCTCTGTTAAAAAAAATATTTTAAGAAAAAGTAAGAAAAATTTAGAATTAAAATCTTTTTGAGCTTTCTTTGGAAGGAAATTCAGGGCTATGTCGATTCTTGACGCACCATGCATGGAAATGGATGGCCCAGGCGGAGTCTCAACCTCGGCGGTAGCACTCAGACTTCATCGCTGATACTGGGGTATCCCATTTGCAGCGTAACTGCATCTCTACAAGTCTGAGATGCTTCCCAAAGAGAAAACTCGGTCAAGAAACCCATGCTTGCATCCAGCATGTCCTCCGTGATTACTAGCAAAACCCAGCGGTAATACAACAAAACTTTTAAAGCCTTGCGGGGATTAAAAAAACCCCAACTCACAAAACGGTGTTGAGAAAGAGGAGCCAAGGCTTCCTGCGACCGCCTTTG